TTTACATTATTTTTACTTCTGTATAAAAATTAACCGGACAGCCTGACAGGATTTGTAGTTACCTATCATTCAGTAAAAGCCTTTGTAATTAACTTTCAATCAATGTAATTTTCTGTCTTAGCACAAGATTTCACAGAGCTGATCTTCTATTTAGTGCAGTGCAGAAAAATGACGAAATGGAATAACATGTTGTAAGCTTACTAAGGCAAAAGAAACTGCTACAAGTAATAATAAATAAAAGTAACTCACCAGGTCTGCTACTCTGCACAAGCTATCTGAAAGCTGATCAAAGATCATTATGGTCTCTGGCCCAGGCGGTGCTGAACATGCCTTCTGCACTAGCTGTTCCGATTCTTGCAATGCTTTGTCCTGTGCTTCTTGAAATCCTTCTGGGCAGCTCAGTTCCGGAACACCAAACAAACCCTGCAATGCAAAACACAATGAAAACACCTAAACATTACCCTCTTCCATTTCCGCCCCTTTGCTTCACGATGTAATTATCACCATGTGTCCTGAGTTCAGCAGTAGCAGTCATTTTTCTCCTTCTTAGTAGCTGGTGCAGTGCTGTGTTTTTGACTTTCAGCCTGGGAACAATGCTGATAACACCGACGTTGCTGCTCAGTAATGTTTACTCTGAGCAAGGACTTTCTGAGTCTCATGCTCTGCCAGAGAGGAGGGGAAGCCAAGAGGAAGCAGAGACAGGACACCTGACCCAAACTAGCCAAAGGGGTATTCCATGCCACAGCACGTCATGCCCATTATATAAACTGGGGGCAGCTAGCCGGAAGGGTGAGATCACTGCTTGGTAAGTCTGGGTATCGGTCGGCGGGTGGTGAGCGGTTGCACTGTCTTCCTTCGTTATTTCCCTTATCATTACTATTACTGGTGGTAGCAGCAGTGATTTGTGTTATACCTTAGTTACTGGACTGCTCTTATCTCAACCCGTGGGAGTTACATTCTTTTGATTCTCCTCCCCATCCCTCCAGGAGCAAAGGGAGGAAGGTGGAGGAGTGAATGAGCAGCTGCATGGTTCTGGGTTGCCAGCTGGGCTTAAACTGTAACACCACTGAATTTTACCAAAACAACGCCAGCTACCATATCATGACACTTCACCAAAATGTTCCCACATCAGTGTCTCTGTAGAGAGAATAGTCAGAAAATGAATCACAGACACTGGTATCACATGAAAACATCTTCATTTCCCAGAGCAAAACCTCCCTGAGCTTCTCAGGATTGTTCTCAGCAAACCTCAAGAGTTCAACATCAAACCCTCACAAATCTGCCTCTTTTCTCGATACATTTTTTATCTTGTTTCGAAAGCATGGGCACCAGAAAAATTCTAAAAAGCCCATCTACATTCTGAAATAAGGTAAAGTCATCCCTCTGAAGCAGAAGAGACTTATCAATGAATGTGAGGACTAAGCAGGAGTGCGAAAACAATGTACTGGCCAGATGCCCTAGATATCAAGCAACAGGACAGTTAGTAGTCTCAAGGTCATTAAATAAGCCCAAATACTGGAAACAGATTTCAAAGGAATGATCAGCTACAACTCAAAAATGTTATGACATGAACAGTTTTATTCCTGAAGTTCTTACAAAGCCTGGCTCTGTCCAACAGGGCAAGGTAAACACTGACTTGTGCAGGGTGGACAAACACAGCAGTTATTTTCTTCATTTGTGGAAGGGAATTAAAGAGGTCCTGCTGCAGATCAAACAAAATTGCTAACACACCTGCTAGAGAAATTCCATGATATACACCTACATTAGCAAAAAAAAAAAATCACTTAAAACAGCATCTCTGTTGAGAGATGTCTGGAAAAGACATGTTTGTTTATAGATACATATGTATATAAAAAAGTACACTCAAATGTAAACATAAATATATACATCACTCTTCAATAGTGCTTGCTGTATAAGAGTCGCAAGACTACCCTTTCACTAAGCTCCTCAGTCAGCTGATGCAGGGTCCTGCAATTTGCCAGTGAGGTCCTGGCCTTCCTGCTGCTCTGTATCACCACACACCCGCTCAGGTGAGCTCCTCCTGCACACGTAGTCTTCTGTGAAGAGGAGGTATCTTCCCTTAGAGATAAATTAGCCACAGAGCAACTCTTCCATATGACACCAAGCTTGACATGAAAATTTAAAAATTACCAAAGAAAAAAAAATAAACAATTAAGCCTGGTGCAGATTTCTGTGTCTTTAACAGTGTGGCTGCATGGCTGCAGCATTATTCTCTTTGCGTGGCCTCAGCCTTTACACCCTCCCTGTCCTAGCCTCTTTGCAAGCCTGAAATACACATCTCTATTCCCAAAGAACTGAACATCCTCTCCGTGCACGAAGCAAATCCAGAACCAATTCCTAGACCAGTAAATGCACAATATTTAACTGAATCATTTCCCTGGAGCAAAACTTACACCAGTCGGTTTGCAGAGGCAGGACAGCCTGAAGAAAAGTTTCCCAAACGAGTGCCGGATTATAAACAGCAGTGAAATTTGTCCTCGCTAAACCCCTTAGTGCCAGAGTGCAACAACTTCACCAGCCTGGGCACCATAGCAGGAATAGTTGATTCAGCAGACTAACACTGGGATTTTACAGGTGTAAGTATTCCACACACACTCTGCCATGGAAAGGACTCATCCTACATTGTCCAGAACAGGTTTAGCTTCTGGGCACTCTAACAAAAATATCCAACTCATTCCAAGAGAAATAAACCAAAAAGCCCGAGGGGTTTCACCAACCCAGCAAACAACTGTTTTTTTTCTTGCCACAAGCAACTGGATGTCAAGAACCCACACAAGAGGCTGTCAGCAGTCGAAGTGATTTTAAAGCACCGCCATTGTGCAACAGTGCGCAGACAGGACACTGACAGACTAAAAAAAGACAGACGGGCAAGCGCCGGGAGTGGAAGGGGTACTGTGTGTATAGTCTCTATTGAGACTCTAAGAATGTTTCAATAAGCAAGGCCGTCATTTTCAAACGCTGATGTGTCCAGAAGAGAGAATGCTTCGGCTCATTAGAACCAAAACAAACCCTCAGGAGGCTGTAAGGGCCTAACAGCTTTAGCCCGGCTGTCCCCACCACCACGAGTTAAACTTTAGAAGCCAGAATTACACACAAGGAAAGGAAAGGAAAGGAAAGCAAAGCGCAAGGCTGCCGGCAGCCAGGCCGCCTCCTGCCCGCAGCAGGCCCCTGCCCCTACCCCTCCCGCCGCTCACCGTCTCCCTGCCCGCCGAGCTGCCGCGCAGCTGCTGCTTCGCATTGAAGGCGGCACCCACCGGGCACCAACTGGTGCTGACGGCCCGGCGGCCCGGCCCCGCGGCCCGGCCCTGCAGCACCCGGCTCAGCGCCGCGGGCAGGCCCCGCCGGCAGCCGGCCAGCATGGCTGAGCGGCACGGCTCGGCCCCGGGAAAGGCCCAGGCGCGCCCAGCTCCGTCCTCAGCCACGACCTCCGCGCGCCCGGGCCCGGGGAGGAGGAGCTCGCTGCCCCCGCCCTCTCTCAGCCCGCCCGCCGCGTTCTTTCCCCGGCCGTTCCGGCGAGGAGGCGCCCTCTGCCAGGGGCTTGTCTCGGCGTTGCGGGCAAAGGGAGGGCCTGCCGGCCTGGCACCGCGGGCTATAGGGCTGGTGGCAGGAGGAGCCTCCGCCGGGAGAAGCTTCTCCTACGTGTTTTCCAGTTAAGTTCGTTTTATAGCATTTCTTGGTCAAGATGCTTCATACACAGCCTTGGTTTACAGGGAAAACATCTCCTCTCACTGAAAAAGTCACAAACCCCTTTTTTTCTGTCTTAAGTGTCCTAGTATCTCCCTCCCTGTAACCCAGCCGACATGAGAAGTGCAGCTGCTTTTCCTGAAGGAACCCATCCCACCATGACCGTTTTGGGTCTATGGTCCACACTCGCGGTTTGACAGCTGTGAGGATGTGTCCATGTTCCCTTGCTTCCCCAGCAGCATCAGGGGTGACAGGAACCCTGGGCTCACGCTTCTTCATTGCATTCGTGCTGAAGCTCACGATGCTGACCTGTGTTACTTTGCATCTCTGCTTTATTCTCTTTTAAGGGAGGGAGTGGGACTTACTGGCATCTTTTGGATTTTTTTTTTAATTATATGTACATATATATATAAGTTTTAGGGGAAAAGGGAAAAAAGGGTTCCAAGAAAATTCACAAAAATTAAGGTTTCGTGGCACATATCTCTCAATCAGTTCTCCAGTATGTCTGCCTCCATGTTGATTAAAGGTTATCTTTCACTTGTGAGAATTTGTTTTGCAGCGGCTAACTGAAGTACAGCAGTGTTATGCTGTATTTTTGCACCAGCATTGAATATCTGCCCACATCAGAGAATCCACACAGCAGTTCCTTCTGTCACTCCATTTTGCTTGATTTCAGACCTTTTGTTACACAGAGAGCAAAGAACCAGGTTTAAAAGCTGTAAAATCCATCCAGCTGCAACAAAACTCATTTGTTGCACAGAACAAGCAGCCCCTGTGGGGGTATCAAGCTGTGAAACAGAGCAAGCAGCCCCTATGGAGATCTCAAACTGCACTAATTCCAAGTTTAAAAATCATTTTAAAATGCTTGGATCTAAACCAGTCAAGTCCATCTACACATGCCACCTAGAAAGATATCAACTGGGTTGGAAGTAACTGCTGCTTAATGTTTATACAAGACCCACATCTCATAATTCCAGAACTTGAAATGTTATCTTCTTTTTAGGCCCACTTTCTTTTAAAACAGTTGTCCTTCAGAACTGGTGTATGCACCCTGTATAACTACAGTAAGTCAGCAAACCAGTCATGTGTCAAGCCCAGCACCTCAGATTCTTTAAAGTTATGCTCTCTTGCACAGAAGCTGCTCCTGGAAACAGCTGCTCCTGTTCCTGGAACTGTAGCCATAGAAACAGTTTATGCACATTAGGACTTTTTGTTTGGTTGGTTTAGTTTTAAACAACAAAGCTAACAACAGCAGATTAGGAGAGTTTAATAAATAAACACCTGGTACCTTAAGATTGGGACAAGAAAGTGTTTATTTCAAACTCTTCTGAGTACGGCTTTGAAGCCTTAAGCTTTGTTTTAGCAGCTGGTCATGAAAACTTCAGCACAGCAAGTTGTGCAATGAGCAGTTGTGTGCCTGGTTTCCTACAGATACAAGTAGTGTGATCCTACACCTTCCCAATGTGATGACTTCAGTAAAAAAGGAAAACAAAAGAAAACGAAAACAAACATAAAAAATAATCAACTTTTAGGGAGATGCCTAGCTGGTCCCAACCTCCCCTACACTCCTATGTCTCCCTTTCAGCCCTCAATGTACTTCTCTGGCTGATTTCTGTTTTCTGTGGAATCCAGCAGAAATTGGACAGCAGATAACTTTATTAGGGAGGGCTGAAGACACAGACACATCGTATTCCCAGATAACATGGAGTTACATGGCGGGCGATGGCAGCGGCTCCAGCAGGTCAGAGGTGCTGAACAGGAGGAACCCAGAGAAGGTGGTATCATCATCAGCATCTGCAAACAGCCCGTTGAAAGTCTCTCCCTGGTGAGCCTGCAGCCACACTTCATCTCCTCCCTGTAGCTCCAGGATGGCAGCTCCTGAAGCCTGGTCCTCTCCACTCTGGTACCTGTCCACGGTGTGCAGCATCTTGATGCCATTTTTAACTAGAGCTACTCGGACATTCCTTGAGTAGACAGTGATGTGGTAGGTGAAATAGTAAACACCGGGGTATTTGCAGGTGAATTTGCCAGTAGCTGAGTTGTAGTCATTTAGACTATTATACAGTACCTTGTCAAACTTGATTGGGCGATTTGGAGGGGGAAATTTGGTGGTGATTGTAAGGCCGACACTGAAAGCACTTCTTGGCAGGACTGCTGGGGCACCTACATTCCCCTTATCTCCTCTGTCTCCTTTCAAGCCTCTTTCCCCCTGAACTCCTGGATTACCCTGTGGCCCAAGATCTCCAGTATTACCTTTAGGACCTGGATTACCAGTTGGGCCAATTGGTCCTGGGAAGCCAACTCTTCCAGGATGGCCAATGTCACCCTTTGTCCCTTTTGGACCTATGGGCCCAATGTCTCCTTTTAACCCCTTTTGTCCTTGCAGTCCCAGCTCTCCCTTCTGACCCTTGTAACCCACTGACCCTATAATTCCTTTCGGTCCCAGTTTCCCAGGTCGTCCTCTTTCTCCTTTATCTCCTTTGTTCCCCTTCTCTTCAACAGTTCCATTTGCTCCTAAATGGAAAAAGAAAAAGAGAATTACTGTATAGATGTGCAAGTCCAGCACCCAGGTTACTGAATTTGTGCAGAAATGATGTGATACCACTAGCTCAATGACTGACTCCCTGCATTTATGCACAAATTGCTCTGCTCATATATGTCCACCTGACAAGGAGACATGCTGCATACACATAGTTTGGCTAAACAGATGAAGTATATATACAGCATCTATTTTTAGTGTAATAATTTTAACTTCTACAGTTTCTCTTTAAAGTCCATTTCCCTGAAGCTGAATACTTGGCTACAGGATCCTCACTTTCTTAAGGTAACTGCAGATGCAGTGTCTTCCTCAGCAGCTAACAAAGGATCAGAGATAAGGAAGGTAGGATAACAGGCTGAGTGAACAAGTTGCAGGGCATCAGAGGCAGCAGGGGTAATTGGTGGTGGCAAATTCCTCTTTTATTGTCAGCATCTCTGTGCAGCCTCTATTACTCCTGGAAAAGGTATGTTAGCCTTTATGGTACTTTCACTACAGCTAGAATGTGTAGTGCTCACAAACACAAGGGCAGCAGGTGGTAAATAATAAATTGAAACACTTCTGCTCTGACCTCGTTCGCCTTTCTCGCCATTTGCACCGTCTTTTCCTGGATTGCCAGGAGGTCCTGCTTCACCTAGTACAAAAGAGAAAAACAGATTTCCATTAAACAATTACATTACTGGGAAACTTTGCATGAATCCTTCTCTAATCCTTCCTCTTCAAGGCTGGCTAAGCAGTAATGTAAACAGTAGTCTTATTCCTGATTTTTAATGGGTGCCAGTGCTGGTACTTTTATCATATGGAGAGACTGACACACAGCACAGAAACTCTGCTTGAGGACAGTGCTTTTTTGAGACAGAGGGAATCCTAGGGTTATTGAAGTATGTAGAGGAGCTACACCCTGGTCTAGACCACCAGTGTGAAAACCTCTTGTCCTGTTGTTGCTGTGATCCATGGAAGATACCATCAGGAAAAGGTGTAAGGGTTTATCTGATAAGGACAAGTTTGATCCAGATTGAATTGTGCAGCTGAGTTAACCAGGCCCCTGATGACAGTGTCTGGTTTAGGCATTAAACCATAATGCCATCTCCATGATGCCACACAATAGCTGACCTAACATAAAGCCTGTTGAGGAAAAGTTCTCCCCCAGAATTTTGTGAACACTTTTGCACTTGTCTTGTGTTTTATATTCTGGGATTGTGACACTTCAGATGAAGTGTTATATCTCCCTCCACATGCCCACAGATTTACCACTTTGTGCAACCCTGGTCTTGATATCTCAGCATGAATACAAGGGCCATCATTAAGCTAAGGCTTAAAATACTATGGGAATTATTAGCTTTAGGATGCTGAGAAGATTACCTCTGTCTTCAGTATCACACACAAATCTTTATTAAAGCCTGTTACAGTACACATGAATCCTATCCTGCTTCTCAATAGGCTCTATTCCTGAACTTCCTCTAGTGCCTCTTGAGTTACAGCAAGTAGGCACACTCAGAAGCAAGTCCTACAAATGTAAAATACAGATAAGAAAGAGAAATCTTCTTACCACTACATACTTGTTGTTACACTGAACAAGGTATCAGTTCTTGGGTGTTTTTTTACTGGGCTTGAAGCTCTTCACAGAAATACAATTGCTATCAGAGATGTAGGAGTAGGTTTACAGGCTTTAAAATTTTCCCAAAGTGGAAAGCAAAGTCTTTTCTTTTGTTTTTATCCAATTGACCTGGTCTCTCCATAGTCTTAGCCATCTTGCTTTCACTATTAGGTCTTTCTTTATATTTCCTTCTTCAAACAAGTCAAAGACAATGTCTGAAATGTTTTCTGAAGTCTAGGCAGAATAATCTCATTAATGTAGTGACTACTGACAGCTTCAGGAATGAATGACATTGCATTTGATACATGAAATAATTTATTTTGAAGACAGTACCTCTATCTCCCTTGTCACCTTTTGAACCATCACGTCCATCACGACCAGGTATGCCATTGTGCCCAGGATTGCCAGGGATGCCAGGATACCCTTGGGTGCAGATGTCCTGGTTTTGTGTTTCTGCTGTGCTGACTACAACAGCCAGCAGTATAATCCAGCTTTTCATTCTTTAGATGGGCTATATGATTTTGGCTGAAAATTTAAGAGAGAAAAGTACATCTGCCTAAGTCTACCTTATAAGGAAGTGCAGCATGGTGGAGGGAGGAACAAAAGGAAATGGCTTTTCACCATGCCTGTTGTTTTGTTTTTCATTATTTATAGGTCTCTATATAGCATTAAGTACAGTCCTGGAGATTTCTGAGTATTATTTCAAATAATAATTTAATGGGAATATCAGCCATGGTGTCATTCATTTGAAATATTAACTCAGCTTTACACAATTTAAAATACTCCTTATTCCTGTTATAGTTAAACCATGAGTGCATTGATAAAGACTAGATTTCATGGATTTGGCTGAATTTAACCCAAATCTCAAGGTCATAATAAAAAGGCATCTTGGGCGAAAGTGATTACCTCTCCTCACCTACCCCCATCCCCAGCAATTACAGCAAAGAATATACACTTGCAGTGGCTGTTTGCTAAAGAACTTCCAATGACCTGTCTTACTCCAACCAAAGCTCTAAGACCCCCAATGCCTGGCAAGTCTACAGGTAAGTATACTAATATTAATGTTGTTGCTGTCCTAAGCCCAAATCGACAGTCAAAATATCAAGTCTTGGGGTGTGAATTGGTAGGACCAGCAATCCCACGTTCATACACAAGGATTCATACAATTCCCTGTTTCCCTGAGCTGTAGTTTTGCTTACATAATATATAATCATTCTCCTTGTTCATAAACCTCTTTGTACATTCCTATAGCCAGAACAGTGCCCAGAGAGGAGCTATTTCATGGCCATTGCTGACTTTCAGAGCCATACAGAAGCCTGTCTACATCTCCCAGCTTCCTCTTTCCTATTTCAAAGACTTCCTATCAATTGGCACCTTATGCGTTTGGAGTCTGTAAGGAAACCCATCTCTCTAAGCTCCAAACTTTTATCAGTGTTAGCCAGTTAGAACCCAGTATCTGTCTAACAGCTTCTTAAAGGAATAATAATTGAGCTAGTCAAACATAATGAAAAAACAGCAGAGGTCTTAATGCTCACTTTTCTATCCACACTTCTCCCTGTATCTATTTGTGACTGCAGAGTTGTACCTCTTATCTCCTAGGTGCTGGAGGAGTAGCTAGGGCAGTTCAACCTCCTAATTCAGCACAAAGAAATCATCTTTTTCTTTCTCTCTCTCTTTTTTCCTTTTTTTTTTTTTTTAATTTGAGTTAGTCATCTACTGGGTTAATAGGTTGAATGATTTTAGAGGGTGTCAGAGCGGGAGCAGGGTGAGATGAGGGCAAAGATGTGAGGGATCAAATAAGAGAGTTTTTTGGCAAAAACAAGTCTTTAATCTGGTTCTCCCCCTTCATGTAACTATGCTACTTAAAGTCCATCTTATACTTGTCTTTTCATTGGTGTCTCTCCTATATAATGTCTTTTAATGTAGGCCCACCAAAGCAAATTAGTACTTAATTCTGGACACAACTGATTTAAGTGAGTGTAAGAGCAATTAATGGGAAGATATTAGTCTGAGGAACAAAAAACCAAATAGCCACATTTTATTTGAATTAATATTCATAAAGCCCTAATGCACAGAAGCTTTAGCTATACAGGTTAAGTACTTATACACATAAAAGTGATTGAATGAGTAAATTTTACATAATTGGCGTTTGAATTGGTTCTTTCATTAATGAGAACTTTATACTAAGATCAGTATTCCTTTTGAAATATGAGCTAGTATTGACTCCAAAAAAATATGTCTTTAGTTTAATCTCTTCACCACCATTTTTCAGTCTTGTGAAACACTACACAGCAGTGCAGCAAAATACCATGTAGGGAGAGACTAGTATGTTGTCAATAAGAATAATTACACCCTGTTAGTAATATTTGATCTAAATATTCTTTGAACTTAATTTATAGAGGAAGACCTTAATTTTGGTACACATTTCTTAATCTTTTTATTCTGTCTTTAGTAAAGTTCCCTATTTTGCAGCCATTGTTGGAAATATGATTTATGGTGACTTTGCCAATGGTCTAAAGAGAGATGCTGAAAAAATCCAGCAGCAAAATCCCATTTTGTCTGCTGCTGCTGGCTAGAACTAAAGCTGAAAATAAATTAAATATTTGCTACTTCTGAACTCATTTACTGCCTTAGTAAGAGGACTCCAGGGGAGTGTAAAAGGAAGAATTGCTCTGTATGATGTTGTTAGGATATGATGCACCCCATGGAGAAGCCTGAGAGTCCTTGTCCACTGACAAAAAACACCATTCCCAGTTGTCTAAGAAGGGAGTGTGTCTTGCCTAAGGAATAGATAGTTTGGTCCCCACACATGCACTCCTTTCCACAAGCTGACATCAACATCATCATCTCTACCTCATCACATATATAGGATCTCTGATCTTACCTCATTCACTTTGTACTTGCAGTGCTCTTGGTCATCTTTAAGCACAGCATAAAAGCTTCATGTAAAGGAAGGTGAGCTCCAAATATGTGCCTTGACGACAGGCATTTGTTTGGTCACTAAATTCTCAAAGGTCAGTGATTTAATTTTGAGAGCTGTTCAATAATTAAAACAGAGGTTTAAAGTGGAATCTTCCTATTTATTCCAATATCAAGCTGAAGTGCCCTGTTATGTGAAAGAAAATTGTTAAAGTGGATTAGTCAGGCTTTGATTTGCCTGTTCCATTATACAAATACATTACACAAATATTAGCTTGGTTGGTTTGTAGGATGGAAGGCATGTCTTTTACTATTGTTGTGCTGCAAAAACATGTAATAAATTTAGTTCATGTATCAAGCAATTTACAACAGAATTACTGACAAAAAGACTATAGAAATTACAAATAACAATGCTGTGAACATGTCATTACAAATATTAGGTGATTATGAAAAAGCAACCAAGTTGAATTAAAGTAAATAAACTGAATGCCAAAGAAAGCCTTTCATGTGTAATTAGCAGGCTCTCCACCTAGCCATTCAAGCATCAGTCAAAGCTTTTGTGCTACTAAATTATCTACTATTTGTAACTAAATTTGAAGAAGCCATAAATTGATACTTAACTGTGTCTTCTTGAAACTACTGCAACTTCTGCTGTCTAAGGACTAGTGGAAGTAAAGCAACTGAGCATATCAACTCCTTAAATGATGCTTGTGAACAGTGAAGGATAAAACCAATAGTAACAGGAGTTAATGTGTTACAGGACGTGACCTCAATTCATCCCTGTTGGTGCAAGTGACTGAAAACACCGTCTGAGGTGGTTCCCACACTGCGAAGATATGACGTGTGTGGTCACGTGTCGAATGTGAGGTTGCGTTACCGCGCAGCTCAGCAGTGAATTGTGTTCACTAAGGTCTTCACCACCACCCTGCGGTAATAAGGAAATATTGCAAGCGTTATGGTGCCCTGTTTTGCATCTGGGACATTGCCTCTACCGTGCTCTGAGGAAGGACAATGTGCAGCAATTAGCTGCTCTACTTGAATGAACTTCTGCAGCCAAATTAGCCTCGCTGCTGTGCTAATTGAGAAGAAGAAATGAAAGCCATGATGGGAGAGCTGATGGCTCTGGGGGGATAGCACTGGGGGCCTCGGGGGACATGGCATGCACAGCAGCGGTCCTGGGGTGGCAGGGTTCTCACACTGGCCCAAAAGAGGCTGTGAATTTTACAGTGACAACAGTCACCGTCTGTCTGTCCCAATCCTGAGGTGGAATGACATAATTCATTAGTTACATCTACCTTGATGGATTCTGGAATTACTCTGGTTTGATGCTTTCTTATCAGAGAACCAAGAAAACTGTTGTAAGAATGGCCTTAAAGGCAAACATTAATATTAGGTGCTTTTTTGTGTGCCTTGTATCATCACAGAATTATGCCTTAGAGATAGTTTCATAGTAGCAAAAGTTCACTATTTGCTCTTAAAAAACCATTGCATCTGAATGGCAGAAGATGCAGGGATTTTTAGATTGACTGCTGTGCTAATTGCCTTTGTTACAAGCTGAATATGGTGGTAATGCCTATGAGATAGATGTCTATTAGAAGAAGCTATACCCAACCTTATTAGCAGAGCACCTTCTAGATACCTTTTCAGTGCTTCATGAGTCGCCATCTCAATGTCTGGGTATGCTTATAGACAAAGGCCAAGGTTAACTGTACTTAGCCAATATGACTACTGACAGTTCACTTCAGTGCATGTACTGAGCTGTCTGCCTTCTTATTTCCAATGTGGAAGCGAGGAATTTGGTATGTACCTTGTTCTGCCAACAAAGTCCCTCAGGAGCACCTGGTGCTCCTCCTTTTCCCTGAAGCAGTTTCAGCTTTCCAAAAATCAAACAGTCGATAAATCCTACATCATCTTGTGTTTCTTGTTCAAGCGAAACTGAGCCCTGGAAGGGCAATGGCAGTCCTTGCTCTGCTAACCTCTGCCCTCTCAGATTTGCCCTTCTGCATTTGGCTGACACCAGACCCCAGAGATGTGGACAGCTTTCAACCTTCACCTGTCTGGAATGGTTTGTCTGTCACAAACTGGGCTGGTGGCCCACCCTGAATGTTTAAAACATTAAAATTACTTGGGTAAAACCTTGCCAGGTATCATCACCCCATATTGTCTGCTGTCCTACCCCCTCCACCCCCTGCCAAGATGCACAACAGAAATGCAAGATGTAACATAAACAGAGGGAGGGTGCAATGGGTGTGGATCACTTGTCTGCTGCAACCTGCTTTAGATGCCAGCAGAGACATCATCTGGGGGTGCCATATGAAGTATATAGAGGGGGTGTAAATATATACATATATATGTATAAACACATACATGCACAAGTCTTTTTTTTGAAACCAGAGCCTAAATACCTAATAGCTTCAGCCCTCAGTACTCACCTGGAAACCAGAAGTCAGTTCTGACTGCAGTGAACTGAACCTAACACAGACCTAAGATTAAAAATCCCCCATATATTGACAGTTCATACAGTTTTGACATATTCTCACGATTACATGTTCTCTAGCTAATTAGAATAAGTGAATTTTGAAAAACATTCAGAAACACACTAAATGTTTGCATGCTTCCCTTACGTGATGTGCAATTTTCAGGATTCAGCCTGACTGCAAAAGCATAAAGTAAAATGCACGAATGAGCTCACCATGGCCAGAAGAATTGCAGGCTCCTTAGAAAGCCTGTTGAGCACAATGTCCTGCTCCAGTGTTTGCTCAAGGTATATTTTTCAGTCATCCAATCTACCTCACTAAGTGCTTGACCGTGCCTTTCACTTTGATCTGGGAGCACTCAGCACACATGGGAGGCCTGGGAAACTCTCAGCTTTGAGGCAAACCAAGAAACAGAGATAAGAGCTTGGACAGTGGAAGGAGGGGGAAAGATCTGCAAACCCAGCTATTCTTACCAGCATTTGATCTCACCAAAGCATTTTTGATGAGAAGATTTCAGCAAAGTGTGTTAAAGCTCATGTGTCTCCATGAAACAGTTTTTGACGCAGCTTTGAGCAGGAAGGACACACACGTGCCTTTCAGATGTAGTCTCCTGCTCTGTCAGAATAGTGAGAAAGGAATAACTTCCCTGAATCAGAGCAGTAAGCTGAATCTCCAGCAGTGTTGCCCATTGCTCTAACAAGCAGGCAGGTAAGCCTCTTCACACACATTTACAGAACGTATCTCTTGGGTGAACCCTTTCAAAAGGTTTTGCTTTTGTTCCGAAGAAAATGAGCATTTGTCCTTCCCCACCTGGACTACAGTACTTGTCACCATGCTCCATTAGCAGGAGCTTTATTAATACAGAAGCTGCATTTGCATTTTCTTTCAAGGGGTGCTGTGGGAGCTGTCTGGCAGGGCAAGGTAAAGCAGAGTGATCTTGGAGGCACACGGCTGGGCAATAGCAAGGATGGCTTTTGTCTGAGCAATGATGCAACCCCAGAATCAGGTTTAGGAGTTGTTAAAATGAACTTGTGCTGGAAAGTACTGTAGCTGTTACTGGAAAACTAAGTAACTGTTTTTTTGCTTTAAAATAATAAATACAACATTTGATACATTTTTGCATCACAGGGAATATTTTGCAGACAATAGAAAAACTCCACAAACATTTTAAAACTGGACAATAAAGTTTTATAAGACACAGCTGAGGAATTTCAGCCTTGTACATTATTTAATTCAAACATGTACAATAAGAGAAAAATAATGGGAATGTAAGTTTGTACTTATTTCCAGAAAATAGATTCATTTGACAAACAATGTTCCAAGAGTAAATAAACCTTGTAATGCAATTATTTCTGAACAAATGTACATCAAACTACTGGAGTCCTACACATTGTACTTCAGCTGTCAACAGCCAATTCATCTGCTCTGTAGCCAGGACAATTCACTTACAACATGCGTAACAGCACACAGATGGTAAGATGCACAAAGCAACGTATGCAAGATAAAATGTTACAAAACACTTGTAAAAAAAAAAATATATACGAATGTCATCCCTAATATTTACAACAAACAGTTTTAAATTAGAGATCGTTCAGAAGGCATCTCCTACATACAAATGCCACAAGTATAGAAAAGAAAGCAGAAAGGCAGTCAAAGAAAGGTACTGTGTTAGCTATGGACGAGGACCTTTGGCTCCAAAACTCTGTTATAATTATTTTCAAAAGACAACTAAACTGTGGAACATTTGAGTAGTTTGTCTTTGAACTCCATTATTACACTGACCACTAAAACTCAATATGCAATTTAGCATGGCAAGAGCCACTTGTAAAACAATCTTATTATTTTATACATCAAATGCTTTGAGTTAGGTGCAATTATGGTTTGGCATTTTCCTAACTCAGTGGGAACACATTTGAGGACAATTACATTTCACTGCATCTTATGCACAAAGTCTGAGGTTATCTGCTCAGCAGGCCGTCAGGAAGGCTCTGGCCGTGCTTTATCTAAATGAGGCACAAATATGCTTAGTAGTTGCCCTAGAACTTTTCATGGTAACTTAAAGCCTGCAAAGAAAGAGCAAAAGAGCAGAAGCTGCTGTCATACCTTTCTGATCATATATAAGTTTTGTCATTAGAAGGAGAATCAAGACAAGAGCTGCTAGAATACGAACTTTTACATTTTAGTAGTTGCAGCTCTTTTTCCCACAGACTCTAAAGTCAGGCTGATCCCCAAGTAAATATTTGTCTTAACTGTTGGATAATGTAATTGTGTGTTTTCCTTTAACTATAATTTGTTTAAAAGATTATGGTGTGGTCTGATTTTGGTCTGTCTTGTTATATTTTATCTTAATCTGTTGCAAGGTCAGATTGCAAAAACAGATACAGAGTATTATAAAACCACCATGCCTTTACGTAGGGCACTATATGTAAAACTTTCCTGAGTAATCTGCACCATGAAACATTTGCTTTTTGTATTTCTGACATTTGATTCATGAGAAAAAAACTGCTGCATCCAAAACCATATGCAAACATTTCTGTTCATTTTTAGGGCTAAGGCACCAGCACTAGTATGTGGGAAGACCCTCAATGGGCACTGACGTGTCAGAAGATACATCCAAATACCTCCTTTTTTCTCCAGCGCTTGGCAGACACAAAGCATGGAAGGAAGTAGGTTTTAGCAAGGACACATATGTAAGTAAGTGTGGATCTCCTAACATCTTCTTGTCTGGCTGGGAAAGTTTCTGGGTGAGCACTGCAATCCAACTTCAGACACTTCTTTTTTGCATCTAGAAAAAGTCTTTTGAAATGTGATTATGAAAAACATAATCTCCACTTCCACAGTACATGCATCGCTTTGGTTTGCAGGCCTGAATGTGGTATACAGCCACAAAAATGGCTATGCAAGAAACACAAAAGGGTTACTCATTTAAGGGAAAGGGCATGCATCCATGCCTGCATTTGGAAATCTGCTCTGTATGTTTAAATGAGCATTTAGAATTATCTTAAAAAAAAACAAAAAAAACAAAAAAAACAAAAATCTGAACAGAAATAGCTTGTTCTTAACTGTTTCAGGTCATCTTGCATCACTATGGGAAAGCACAAGCAAGGAAGTTCATTATGCAGTGAACAATCCGTCTGAGAATCCAGACTTTGCATTATTGCTGACCTATGTACACAAGGCATTTGAAATGTACAGTTGTCAAAAGACTTATTTTAAAAACAAAACCACAAACCTGGGCTTTGCAGAAGTTGCCATAAAGTTATTAAATCACAAAATCTAATGACCAGTGAGCTTCACAACACTGACAATAAAAAAAGGAATAGAGGTAACAATAGTAGTAGGAACAAATACATGATTAAAATAAGGCCTTTTTACATTGCTGTTAAGATGCCTGGCCTCTAGCCCCTTGTTTGTTCTTCATATATTACAGATTCATGACAAAGCTGATTGTGTCCATTGTCAAAGAATACCCTTGGATCTATCCTTATCATCATATAATGCCCTTAATCAGCAGCATAGGATAAAGCATTGTAAAGACATTCATAGCAAATCAGTTCTGAAACATACAAAGTCTTACTTTCCTTCCATGTCACCAGCAGTCTTGTCATTCTTAATGACAGCTACCAAAGCAGAAATGATCAGTGCTGCAAAATACCAAGATCCTGTTTCTTCCTGGTGGCTTTTTAGACGTTATTCTCCCAAATCAACTTCGTATCATAGGCAAATCATAGCAATGCAAATCATGTATTGCAGATGCTGGCCAGAGCTGACCTTAATCAATCTTAGTCAGGTTCTCCCCTTCCAATAGAGACTTTGAGACAAAAATCTGCCTCTGGTCCACAGAGTTTCTCTGTCTCCTCCAGTAAGGATTTCTCTTTCTTTGTGAAGAGAATTGGTCGAAACCCATTGTCAACTGACTGTGTATAAAGAGCATGAATCCAGACCGCTTCAATATATTTACATTACTACTTATTCACTTTCTAAGTCAAGCTATACGAATATAAGTGTGAGAACTATGTAACATAGCCAGCAGTCAGCACATACTGTCTCAACTCTTGACTTTGTACATTCACATTATCTTTGTTAGAAAACAAAAAAATACTTTTTACACGGAGAAATAAGCATGTTGGAAATATAAAGAAGAATCTCCCAGGCAAAGAAGTGCGCAAAAAGTGATATAAAAGCTCCATTCTGAAAAGCTTACATGCATGTAGTATATTGCTGTGACTGAAATTAATCATTCTGAGATGCCCTGGGATCCTCTTGTTTCCACTTCTGTGCAATAAATGCACACATATCTTTATAGCCGATTTCACACTCTGTTCATGTTTCTATATGACAGAATAAAATTTCCCTGTTCCAATCTGGAATATGGTAAGGCCTTGTGGAATGTTCTCCTGCCATCTGGCAATTTAATAGAAAAATACAGCAAGGATTAGGGTGCACTGAATTCTGCAATGGTTGGCTAATGGCATGGGATGTCTCCACCTGATTTTAATAGGTGGTCTCACCTCAGTGCTCCAAAAGGAAGGAGAAAACTCTCCTAAGATTCCTTGCTTATACACCACTAAGGAAAAATTCCTCCCT